GTATTGTATTGTATTGTATTGTAAACCAAGCTCAGACAGCATTTTTTCTTTCTCTTTTAAGCACAATTTTGCTCTAGAGGTTTCCATGAAGACAAAGCACCAAGCCACATCAGCTTTCCCACCAGTCAAAGATGGACATTTTGAGTGTGTGTGTGGGGGGGGGGGGAGTGGATGCATGCACAAAGGAACCCCAACACGAAAGAGCTATAAATTCCATAGTGTGAAATATGACAAAAGGATACACCATGAGGGTGTTTCACCTTTATTTCTGTGTTTTCATTGAAAGATAAATTTACCCTCAACCTTTCATCACTTAATATCACAGAAGCAGCAAATGAGTTGGTAAAAATGTTCCTCAACATTTTTGTTACTAATTGCAGACACTGGAAATCAAAGGTTTGAGTGCTGCTACCTGAGGGCAGGGGAGGAGGGGAGGGAGACACTGCAGAGATGAAACTAGCATATCAACAAGAAGGCCATGTCTGAATTTTCAGTCATTATCATGAAGATGTGTATATTCATGTTGACAAGCATATGAGTCACAGCTTCACACTAGCTTATGGAGTCCTTTTTATTGCATACTGGTTTGCTTGCTTAAATCACAGCAAAACGGGGAAGGCTGGGCTAGTATTCACCAGGCGATATTAAGCTTATCTGTAAATTCTTATTTTTTATGAAATGACCCAAGAAAAAAGCAAAACAGTCTATATATCCTGCCCGCCCCCCCGCACCCTCTACATTTGTTAATGCTGTTACAATTTTTAGTGCAAAACAAACGTTTAAAAGAATTCAAACTATGTTGTTTCATGAACTGCAAAAATAATTCAAAACCTGTGATGCCAACATCAAAGATATAGGACACAGCAGTATTTCTCAACATGGGCAACTTTTAAGACCTGTGGACTCAAAAAGTCCCAGAATGCTCTAAATCTGAGGAATTCTGGGAATTGATGTCTACATAAATTGCCAAGATTGAGAAGCAGTAGGATAGAGAATAGGAAAAAAACAACCTCATTAGATGCTAGATTTTTTTTCAGTGCTGTGGAGATCAGGGGCCAAGGTGGTGATGGAGGTAATAACATTATTACTTTGTGACTTGCGATTGCTCAACTACTATATACTTATGTTTCCCCACACCAGTTTTGACTGGTTATACTCTCATGCAGGGGTGGGCTGATGGAGATTCGCAGGGGTTGGGAGAACCTCTAGCTAAGATTCTGTGCAATTCTGAGAACTCCCAAATCCCACTCCTGGCTGGCCCCACCCACCTCTCCCCTCCCAAGAGTCCCCAGGCGATCTATTTTGGATGCAGGTAAGTGTAGGGCGTGCACAGAGGCTCGGGGAGAGCACAAAAATGGACCTACCAGATGTTCGGAAAGGCCCGAAATAGGCCTGTTTCTGACCTCAAGAGGGCCTTCGGAGCCTGGGAAGGCCGTTTTCTCCCTCCCAGAGGCTCAAGGAAAGCCTCCGGAGTCCAGGAAGGGCAAAAAGCCCCCACCACCATGAAGTAGAGGCCGACTAGGCCACGCCCAGCCAGCAACCGGGCAGAGAATCCCTGGCTAAACATTTTGAAGCCCATTCCTGCTCTCATGGAATCTTTGGGCTTTCCGTGTAGTCTCAGATCTTTCTGTAAATGAATGGAAACTGCCTCCAGCAGTGGGATTGTCTTCTGTGAATACTTGGATGGGAGATCACTTGGAACCTCATGA